GAAGTGCCACTTGTTGACATGACTGTTGAGGGTGACTGAAGTGCCACTTGTTGACATGACTGTTGAGGGTGACTGAAGTGTCACTTGTTGACATGACCGTTGAGGGTGACTTAAGTGCCACTTGTCGACATGAGGAGGAGTAGGATGGGAGACAAGACACACGCACCTCACCCTCCACCTCTAGCCACTCCTCCACTTGAACGTCGACCTCAAAACAATGCCTTGAGGGACCAGGAGCTGATGTCAACCTTCTCGCGTCACGTCGACCTCAAAACAATGCCTTGAGGGACCAGGAGCTGATGTCAACCTTCTCGCGTCACTCCAGCTTTCGAGGTGGACCTCCGAACGTGGTTCCTGCACCTCCAAGCCTCCACCTCCACAGAGGGTTTCGAGGAGGACCTGGAGCTGTCTTCGACACGCTCAAGACTTCAAATCTATTTCTAGAAAGAAATAGGGAGGCTCTTAGAAAAAATAATCTTGGAATTTAGCTAGATAGGCACTAGATGCCCGTCTTGGAGCATCAATAGGGTTCTAGATACCTATCTAAGAGTTTAAGGTTCTAGATGCCTAGTTATCAGCATAAATAAGGTTCTAGATGCCTAGTTATCAGCATAAATAATGTTCTAGATGCCTAGGTATCAGCATAAATAAGGTTCTAGATGCCTAGCTATCAGCATAAATAAGGTTCTAGATGCCTAGCTGTCAGCATAAATAACGTTCTAGATGTCTAGTTATCAGCATAAATAACGTTCTAGATGCCTAGTTATCAGCATAAATAAGGTTCTAGATGCCTAGCTATCAGCATAAATAACGCTCTAGATGCCTAGCTATCAGCATAAATAACGCTCTAGATGCCTAGCTATCAGCTTCAGATTCTAGTAACTGAGTGATCCACTGTACCTCACTACAGGAACACTTCGTATCTCCTCCACATTGATTACCAAGTGACTGGAAGGCAGCGTAAATATCTGCGCCTCTTGACCCACCACTTACGGGTTCTATCTTCACTAGTTCTTCATCAACTATGAGATCCTCATTTACGGTACGTGTGAATATCGGCAACTGGCTTGTGTCTCTCTTGTCTCTACTCTCGTCTACAGCCAATGGAAAGTATTTTGACGACATAATTAAATACTTTCAGATATTCTGGTGGCCTTTATTTTACCCTCAAACACTTGCCCTCAATGATCCCCTGTTCTCCCACCAGCATCATAACTTTACGTGATGCTGTTAGACTTGCTCTTTGAGGCTTGCCAAAGTTACTTACCACCATCCCATGCAGCTATATCCCAGAGGCAGACTGACGCATCCCATCCCATGCAGCTATATCCCAGAGGCAGACTGACGCACCCCATCCCATGCAGCTATATCCCAGAGGCAGACTGACGCATCCCATCCCATGCAGCTATATCCCAGAGGCAGACTGACGCATCCCATCCCATGCAGCTATATCCCAGAGGCAGACTGACGCACCCCATCCCATGCAGCTATATCCCAGAGGCAGACTGACGCATCCCATCCCATGCAGCCATATCCCGGAGGCAGACTGACGCATCCCATCCCATGCAGCTATATCCCAGAGGCAGACTGACGCATCCCATCCCATGCAGCTATATCCCAGAGGCAGACTGACGTATCCCATCCCATGCAGCTATATCCCAGAGGCAGACTGACGCACCCCATCCCATGCAGCTATATCCCAGAGGCAGACTGACGCATCCCATCCCATGCAGCCATATCCCGGAGGCAGACTGACGCATCCCATCCCATGCAGCTATATCCCAGAGGCAGACTGACGCATCCCATCCCATGCAGCTATATCCCAGAGGCAGACTGACGCATCCCCTCCCATGCAGCCATATCCCAGAGGCAGACTGACGCACCCCATCCCATGCAGCTATATCCGAGAGGCAGACTGACGCATCCCATCCCATGCAGCTATATCCCAGAGGCAGACTGACGCATCCCATCCCATGCAGCTATATCCCAGAGGCAGACTGACGCATCCCATCCCATGCAGCTATATCCCAGAGGCAGACTGAAGCATCCCATCCCATGCAGCTATATCCCAGAGGCAGACTGACGCATCCCATCCCATGCAGCTATATCCCAGAGGCAGACTGAAGCATCCCATCCCATGCAGCTATATCCCAGAGGCAGACTGACGTATCCCATCCCATGCAGCTATATCCCAGAGGCAGACTGACGCACCCCATCCCATGCAGCTATATCCCAGAGGCAGACTGACGCACCCCATCCCATGCAGCTATATCCCAGAGGCAGACTGACGCACCCCATCCCATGCAGCTATATCCCAGAGGCAGACTGACGCATCCCATCCCATGCAGCTATATCCGAGAGGCAGACTGACGCATCCCATCCCATGCAGCTATATCCCAGAGGCAGACTGACGCATCCCATCCCATGCAGCTATATCCCAGAGGCAGACTGACGCATCCCATCCCATGCAGCTATATCCCAGAGGCAGACTGAAGCATCCCATCCCATGCAGCTATATCCCAGAGGCAGACTGAAGCATCCCATCCCATGCAGCTATATCCCAGAGGCAGACTGACGTATCCCATCCCATGCAGCTATATCCCAGAGGCAGACTGACGCACCCCATCCCATGCAGCTATATCCCAGAGGCAGACTGACGCACCCCATCCCATGCAGCTATATCCCAGAGGCAGACTGACGCACCCCATCCCATGCAGCTATATCCCAGAGGCAGACTGACGCATCCCATCCCATGCAGCTATATCCCAGAGGCAGACTAACGCATCCCATCCCATGCAGCCATATCCCAGAGGCAGACTGAAGCATCCCATCCCATGCAGCTATATCCCAGAGGCAGACTGACGCATCCCATCCCATGCAGCTATATCCCAGAGGCAGACTGACGCATCCCATCCCATGCAGCTATATCCCAGAGGCAGACTGACGCATCCCATCCCATGCAGCCATATCCCGGAGGCAGACTGACGCATCCCATCCCATGCAGCTATATCCCAGAGGCAGATTGACGCATCCCATCCCATGCAGCTATATCCCAGAGGCAGACTGACGCATCCCCTCCCATGCAGCCATATCCCAGAGGCAGACTGACGCACCCCATCCCATGCAGCTATATCCCAGAGGCAGACTGACGCATCCCATCCCATGCAGCTATATCCCAGAGGCAGACTGACGCATCCCATCCCATGCAGCTATATCCCAGAGGCAGACTGACGCATCCCATCCCATGCAGCTATATCCCAGAGGCAGACTGAAGCATCCCATCCCATGCAGCTATATCCCAGAAGCAGACTGACGCATCCCATCCCATGCAGCTATATCCCAGAGGCAGACTGAAGCATCCCATCCCATGCAGCTATATCCCAGAGGCAGACTGACGTATCCCATCCCATGCAGCTATATCCCAGAGGCAGACTGACGCACCCCATCCCATGCAGCTATATCCCAGAGGCAGACTGACGCACCCCATCCCATGCAGCTATATCCCAGAGGCAGACTGACGCACCCCATCCCATGCAGCCATATCCCAGAGGCAGACTGAAGCATCCCATCCCATGCAGCCATATCCCAGAGGCAGGCTGACGGACCCCATCCCATGCAGCCATATCCCAGAGGCAGACTAGCGCATCCCATCCCATGCAGCTATATCCCAGAGGCAGACTGGCGCATCCCATCCCATGCAGCTATATCCCAGAGGCAGACTGACGCATCCCATCCCATGCAGCCATATCCCAGAGGCAGACTGACGCATCCCATCCCATGCAGCTATATCCCAGAGGCAGACTGAAGCATCCCATCCATGCAGCTATAACCCAGAGGCAGACTGACGCATCCCATCCCAAGCAGCTATATCCCAGAGGCAGACTGAAGCATCCCATCCCATGCAGCTATATCCCAGAGGCAGACTGACGCATCCCATCCCATGCAGCCATATCCCAGAGGCAGACTGACGGACCCCATCCCATACAGCCATATCCCGGAGACAGACTGGCGCGTCCCATCCCATGCAGCTATATCCCAGAGGCAGACTGAAGCATCCCATCCCATGCAGCTATATCCCAGAGGCAGACTGAAGCATCCCATCCCATGCAGTCATATCCCAGAGGCAGACTGACGGACCCCATCCCATGCAGCCATATCCCGGAGGCAGACTGACGCATCCCATCCCATGCAGCCATATCCCAGAGGCAGACTAGTGCATCCCATCCCATGCAGCTATATCCCAGAGGCAGACTGACGCATCCCATCCCATGCAGCTATATCCCAGAGGCAGATTGAAGCATCCCATCCCATGCACCTATATCCCAGAGGCAGACTGACGCATCCCATCTCATGCAGCTATATCCCAGAGGCAGATTGAAGCATCCCATCCCATGCAGCTATATCCCAGAGGCAGACTGAAGCATTCCATCCCATGCAGCTATATCCCAGAGGCAGATTGAAGCATCCCATCCCATGCAGCTATATCCCAGAGGCAGACTGAAGCATCCCATCCCATGCAGCTATATCCCAGAGGCAGACTGATGCATCCCATCCCATGCAGCTATATCCCAGAGGCAGACTGACGCACCCCATCCCATGCAGCCATATCCCAGAGGCAGACTGACGCATCCCATCCCATGCAGCTGTATCCCAGAGGCAGACTGAAGCAACCCATCCCATGCAGCCATATCCCAGAGGCAGGCTGACGCATCCCATCCCATGCAGCCATATCCCAGAGGCAGACTGACGCATCCCATCCCATGCAGCCATATCCCAGAGGCAGACTGACGCATCCCATCCCGTGTACCTGGCAGTGGGTCACAACATGTACAAGCCACGTCCCTACTCTGTACTAATCAGGGTCATCATTCTAGCATTATCTCACATACATAAATTCAATAAATCAGTGTATTAATCTTAGTTCTCGTGGGCCAGTAAAGAAATGAAGTTGCTGGTCACTTATTTATTTATTTATTTAGTGGTGATGAGGGTCATTACCGCTAATATAGTGATTGGTGTAGTAGAGGCGGCCTAGGTGTTGGTGGTGGTGGTGGTGGTGGTGGTGGTGGTGTTGGCGGTGCTGTTGTTGGAGATATTGAGGAGGATGCTCCAGCTATACTCTGTTGTTGTTGTTGTTGGTGGTGGTGGAGGCTCTGGAGGTAGGCGTGGGTCATGTCCGCGGGCGTGGGCGTGGTGGCTTGGGCGTGGGTGGGGGCGCCGGGACTGGCACACTGCAGGAGTCTGGCACTGTGTTCCTGCGCCTTCTGTCGCAGCGCTGCGATGCTGCTGGATCTGTGGAAGGTGATGTAGGTGAGAGAGAGAGAGAGAGAGAGAGAGAGAGAGAGAGAGAGAGAGAGAGAGAGAGAGAGAGAGAGACAGACAGAGAGAGACAGACAGAGAGAGATATCTCATATCTCATGTCTTTGGACATTACCTATTTTATCTATAATAATAATAATAATAATAATAATAATAATAATAATAATAATAATAATAATAATAATAATAATAATAATAATAATAATAATAATAATATAATTATTATTATTATTATTATTATTATTATTATTATTATTATTATTATTATTATATTTATTATAATTATTAGTATTATTATTGCAGTTTTGTTTTAAATATATTCTGTACACCATTTTTATCTTATCATTGTACAAACACTCAACACTGGTGACCAGTGATCCTTGTATCCTACCAGTTTGGTATTCTGAAATTCTCTGTTGTACTCTCCTGTAACCCCCAAATGTTTCTGTAGTTTGTGTTTCAGTGGCTGATTGTGGTACTGTAACAAGGGCTTTCTGAAAGCCCTGGAATGTGCAGTCCACCCAGTACTCTCTCTCTCTCTCTCTCTCTCTCTCTCTCTTGTTGTGGTTGTTCCTTCTTATTTCTGTAGGTCTGTGAGGCATGACCTTCATGGTGTGTGGGTGTGTGTGTTTATGTGTGGATGTGTGGGTGTGTGTCTGTGTGGGTGTGTAGGGGTGTGTGTGTGGGTGTGTGTGTAAGTGTGTGGGGATGTGTGGGTGTGTGTCTGTGTGTGTGTGGGTGGGTGTGTGTTGGTGTGTGTGGGTGTGGGTGGGTGTGTGTGGGTGTGGATGGGTGGGTGTGGGTGGATGTGTGTAGGCGTGAGTGGTTGTGTGGGTGTGGGTGAGTGTGTGTGGGTGTGTGTGGGTGTGTGGGTGAATGTGTGTGGGTGTGTGTGTGTGGATGTGTGGTTGTGTCTGTGTGGGTGTCGGTGGATGTGGGCGTCACTCACCTGAAGTCCTCCGGGTGTGTGTGATGATGCTTATCCTGTGGTGATCCAGCATCACTGGCACCATCCTCCTCACTGGATTCTCCACCTCCATCTTCCCCATCATCGCTGGCTCCTCCAGCAGTGCCATCTCCAGGAGGCACTCCACCTCCAGCACCTCCTCCTCCACCCTCGGCCTCCCCTGAATGAAGGTTTCTCGAGTCGTCGTCAGTCTTAGTGCCACCTTCCAAATCTTTATCACCTTCCTCCGCCTTCTGTAGCTGCTGCGCCGCCTCCAGGCTCTTCCGATGCATCCCTGTGGAGATCTCCGGGTCAGAGAGAGCCGCGTGTTGGGTCAACACTCGTCTCACAAGGTCAATGCGTCAATTTCTATTTTTATACAACATTACCAGACTCAAAATTATTTTGAGTAGAAATTGGCTGCCATTTCACAGGAAAAAAAGATTTCATTCTCAGATAATTACATATTGTCATGACGATTATATTACTGAAGACTCCTACAGTATGTATATAGTGTGGGGGCCCTCACAAGTGGGAACTCCCACAGTTTAACAACAGAGTAACAGTTCCTCAAGGTGACCCCTTAATTCAAAGTCACCAGTCCCCACAGAGAGGCGCTCCTCCGTCACCACGACACCACCGCACTCACCACACAACCCCTGACCAACCTACTGCAAACCTCCGAACCCTTTTACTTAGTCTTCCCACAAGATAAATGCTCTTCCTCCCACGCCACTCCAAGACCACTCTGTGTCCCAGGCTTAATAAAGTCCCCATAAACCCCTTTACGTGAGCAAAGATTAACACGAACTTCTGGGAGCAGCTGACACCGAGTTTCCTTCAGCCTGTTGCAAGAATATATCTAAGTAAAACTTCGATAACTATTAAAATAAATGGCTAGAACTGGCGGGAATAGCCTTTTAAACTCACTTTGCTAGTTAAAAACAATAAGAGATATTCTTTGACTCCCTTTTTCTGTACTTTCGGTGACCTCGAAGTCCACTCAAAGGTCAGTCGAAGACCCATTTAAGACAAGTCGAAGACCAGTTTAGTACAGGTTGAAGACACGTTAAAGACAAGTCATAGACATGCTGAAGACACGTTGAAGACAAGTTTAAGACAAATTTAATTCAATATAAGCTTAGGACAAGTCGAAGACAAGTTGAATACAAGTTGGAGACTAGTTTAAAACGAGTCTTAAGTGCAGTTTAAGACTGGTCTAGAACGAGTCGTCTCACCCTCCTTAATGGGGAGAGAGTACCAGGGAGAGTGCCAGAAGAAAAGAGCACCTAGTGGACGAGGTTAGTGAAGAGTAGCGTGTGTCTGCAGTGTCGGAGATCGAGCGCCCTCGTGGACTCACCTAGTGGACTCTGACCCATACCTAGGAGCCAGGGAGCTGGGCACTCATCTCCGGACTCCACAGACTTGACGATGGCCTCGGGCAGGGGCAAGGAGTGCCGCACCATGGCACCATACAACCCGTACTCCGCCATAATGGTGCTCTTGCCCCAGGTCTTCTCAGTCTTGCGCCACTTCGCACGTCGGTTCTGGAACCACACCTGTAGGGAGAAACAAGACCGTTAAGGTCAAGAATTAACCACATGTGCAACATCTGGGTATCTTTATGTGTTGACGTTTCGCCCTCCAGTGGCTTTATCAATACAATACCAGGATATAATGTGAAGACTAGAACTGGATACAAAAGGTGAGATAATCAGTCCCTCAACATTGGAGTTGGTAAAGAGCACCGTAGTCTTCAAGACTACCACCGTAGTCTTCAAGACTACCACCGTAGTCTTGAAGACTACGGTGCTCTGTAAATTAACGAAGGTTGGATGACAGCTCTTAGCCCGTAAATTTCACAGCACAACTGACAAAAACTCGTTCGATTACATCTTCTGTTATTTTTCTAGTGCCTTGGACAATGTCAGCGGACGGAGTATCAAGCCTCCACCGCTCTTTGCACTCCCAACACTTAACTAGTGCCTCAAGGGGCATTCAAGAGAAGGTGTAAAGAGCCTGGTAGCATAACCCGAGGGCATGAAACGGCATGAGCTGTGTGGAAGAGGGATGTGTGTGGGATGAGGATGCTGGCTGAGAGGAGCTCAAGTCAGCCGGAAAAAGTAAACAAACACACGTGGTCTGAGATGTTTACTAGACATCCGGAAGACAGATGCGACAGCTGAGCATCCTCTCTCTCTCTCTCTCTCTCTCTCTCTCTCTCTCTCTCTCTCTCTCTCTCTCTCTCTCTCTCTCTCTCTCCTCTCTCTCTACACACACACACACACACACACATCTATAACAGACCTCATATAGACACTAGAGATGACATGAGGGAGAGAAGGGGAAGGAGAAAGGAAGGAGGAAGGGAGAGGGAGCACCGCCCCCTCTTTCCTTCTCACGGAAGATTCAACAAGAATCTTTATTGGTAAGACTGAAGTTGATGGTCTGTGAGTGATGTGAGTCCTTCCTTCCTTCCTTCCTTCCTTCCTTCCTTCCTTCCTTCCTTCCTTCCTTCCTTCCTTCCTTCCTTCCTTCCTTCCTTCCTTTCTTCCTTCCTTTCTTCCTTCCTTCCTTCCTTCCTTCCTTCCTTCCTTCCTTCCTTCCTTCCTTCCTTCCTTCCTTCCTTCTTCATCCTCCTTTCTTACCTCCTCTCCCTCTCACTGCTCACTCTTCTCCCTCCTATGTCATCTTCACAACCTTGTTGAAAAACGTAGACACCAGCAGTTTTGTCATGGTGGTAGTAGTGGTGGTAGTGGTGGTGGTAGTGGTGGCAGTGGTGGTGGTAGTGGTGGTGATAGTAGTGGTAATAGTGGTAGTAGTGGTGGTAGTGGTGGTGGTAGTGGTGGTAGTAGTGGTAATGGTGGTGATAGTAGTGGTGGTAGTAGTGGTAGTAGTGGTGGTAGTAGTGGTAGTGGTGGTGGTAGTGGTGGTAGTAGTGGTAGTAGTGGTGGTAGTGGTGGTGGTAGTGGTGGTGGTAGTGGTGGTAGTAGTGGTGCTAGTGGTGGTGGTACTGGTGGTAGTGGTGGTGATAGTAGTGGTAGTAGTGGTAGTAGTGGTAGTAGTGGTGGTTATGGTGGTGATAGTGGTGGTGGTAGTGGTGGTGATAGTAGTGGTGGAAGTAGTGTGGTAGTGGTGGTGGTAGTGGTGGTAGGTAGTGTGGTGATAGTAGTGTAGTAGTGGTAGTAGTGGTGGTAGTGGTCGTGGTAGTGGTGGTAGTAGTGTAGTAGTGGTGGTAGTGGTGGTGTACTGGTGGTAGTAGTGGTGGTAGTGGTGGTGGTAGTGGTGGGTAGTAGTGGTGGTAGTGGTGCAGGTAGTGGTGGTAGTGGTGGTGATAGTAGTGGTAGTAGTGGTAGTAGTGATGTAGTGGTGGTGGTAGTGGTGGTAGTAGTGGTAGTGGTGTGATAGTAGTGGTGGAAGTAGTGGTAGTAGTGGTGGTAGTAGTGGTGGTAGTGGTGGTGGTAGTGTGGTAGTAGTGGTGGTGTGGTGGTGGCAGTGGTGGTAATGGTGGTGATAGTGAGTGGTAGTAGTGGTGGTAGTGGTGGTGGTACTGGTGGTAGTAGTGGTGGTAGGGTGGTGGTAGTGGTGGTAGTAGTGGTGGTAGTGTGGTAGTAGTGTGGTGTAGTAGTAGTGGTAGGTGTGGTAGTGGTGATAGTAGTGGTGGTAGTAGTGGTAGTAGTGGTAGTAGTGGTAGTGGTGGTGGTAGTGGTGGTAGTAGTGGTAGTAGTGGTTGGTAGTGGTGGTGGTAGTGGTGGTGGTAGTGGTGGTAGTAGTGGTGCTAGTGGTGGTGGTACTGGTGGTAGTGGTGGTGATAGTATGGTAGTAGTGGTAGTAGTGTAGTAGTGGTAGTAGTGGTGGTTGTGGTGGTGATAGTGGTGGTGGTAGTGGTGGTGATAGTAGTGGTGGAAGTAGTGGTGGTAGTGGTGGTGGTAGTGGTGGTGGTAGTGGTGGTGATAGTAGTGGTAGTAGTGGTAGTAGTGGTGTAGTGGTCGTGGTAGTGGTGGTAGTAGTGGTAGTAGTGGTGGTAGTGGTGGTGGTACTGGTGGTAGTAGTGGTGGTAGTGGTGGTGGTAGTGGTGGTAGTAGTGGTGGTAGTGGTGCTGGTAGTGGTGGTAGTGGTGGTGATAGTAGTGGTAGTAGTGGTAGTAGTGATGGTAGTGGTGTGGTAGTGGTGGTAGTAGTGTGTAGGTGGTGGATAGTAGTGGTGGAAGTAGTGTAGTAGTGGTGGTAGTAGTGGTGGTAGTGGTGGTGGTAGTGTGGTAGTAGTTGGTGGTAGTGGTGGGTGGCAGTGGTGGTAAAGGTGGTGATAGTAGTGGTAGTAGTGGTGGTAGTGGTGGTGGTACTGGTGGTAGTAGTGGTGGTAGGGGTGGTGGTAGTGGTGGTAGTAGTGGTGGTAGTGGGTGTTGGGTATGGTGAGTAGTGGTGGTGATAGTAGTGGTAGTAGTGGTAGTAGTGATGGTAGTGGTGGTGGTAGTGGTGGTAGTAGTGGTAGTGGTGGTGATAGTAGTGGTGGAAGTAGTGGTAGTAGTGGTGGTAGTAGTGGTGAAGTGGTGGTGGTAGTGTGGTAGTAGTGGTGGTAGTGGTGGTGGCAGTGGTGGTAATGGTGGTGATAGTAGTGGTAGTTAGTGGTGGTAGTGGTGGTGGTAGTGGTGGTAGTAGTGGTGGTAGTGGTGGTGGTAGTGGTGGTAGTGGTGGTGTATGTAGTGGTAGTAGTGGATAGTAGTGGTGGTAGTGGTGGTGGTAGTTTGGAGTGGTGGTAGCAGTGGTAGTAGTGGTGGTAGTGGTGGTGATAGTAGTGGTAGTATTGGTAGTAGTGCCGGTAGTGGTGGTGGTAGTGGTGGTGGTAGTGTGGTAGTAGTGGTAGTAGTGGTGTAGTGGTGGTGGTAGTGGTGGTAGCAGTGGTGGTAGTGGTGGTGATAGTAGTGGTAGTAGTGGTGGAGTGGTGGTGGAGTGGTGGTAGTAGTGGTAGTAGTGGTGGTAGTGGTGGTGGTAGTGGTGGTAGCAGTGGAGGTTAGTGGTGGTAGTGGTGGTGATAGTAGTGGTAGTAGTGGTGGTAGTGGTGGTGATAGTAGTGGTAGTAGTGGTGTGTAGTGGTGGTAGTGGTGCTGGTAGTGGTTGGTATTGGAGGTGATAGTAGTGGTAGTAGTGGTAGTAGTGGTGGTAGTGGTGGTGGTAGTGGTGGTAGTAGTGGTAGTAGTAGTGGATAGTGTGGTTGATAGTAGTGGGTAGTAGTGGTAGTAGTGGTGGTGGTAGGTGGTGTGTAGTAGTGGTAGTAGTGGTGGTAGTGGTGTTGGTTTAGTGGTGGTAGAAGTGGTGAGGTAGTGGTGGTAGCGTTGGTGATAGTAGTGGTAGTAGTGGTGGTTAGTGATGGTGATAGTAGTGGTAGTAGTGGTGGTGGTGGTGGTGGTGGTAGTGGTGGTGGTAGTGGTGGTGGTAGTGGTGGTAGTGGTGGTGATAGTAGTGGTGTAGTGAAGGTAGTGGTGGTGATAGTAAGTTCTAGTAGTGGTGGTAGTGGTGGTGGTATGGTGGTAGCAGTGGAGGTAGTAGTGGTTAGTGGTGGTGATAGTAGTGGTAGTAGTGGGAGTAGTGGTGGTAGTGGTGGTAGTGGTGGTGATAGTAGTGGTAGTGGTAGTAGTGGTGGTGATAGTAGTGGTAGTAGTGGTGGTAGTGGTGGTAGTGGTGGTGATAGTAGTGGTGGTAGTGGAGGTAGTGGTGGTGATAGTAGTTCTAGTAGTGGTGGTAGTGGTGGTGGTAGTGGTTGGTAGCAGTGAGGGTAGTAGTGGTAGTGGTGGTGATAGTAGTGGTAGTAGTGGGAGTAGTGGTGGTAGTGGTGGTAGTGGTGGTGATAGTAGGGTAGTGGTAGTAGTGGTGGTGATAGTAGTGGTAGTAGTGGTGGTAGTGGTGGTGATGGTAGTGGTAGTAGTGGTGGTAGTGGTGGTAGTGGTGGTGGTAGTGGTGGTAGCAGTGGTGGTAGTGGTGGTAGTGGTGGCGATAGTAGTGGTAGTAGTGGTGGTAGTGTGGTGATAGTAGTGGTAGTAGTGGTGGTAGTGGTGGTGGTAGTGGTGGTAGCAGTGGTGGTAGTGGTGGTAGTGTTGGTGATAGTAGTGGTAGTAGTGGGAGTAGTGGTGGTAGTGGTGGTGATAGTAGTGGTAGTAGTGGTGGTAGTGGTGGTGGTAGTGATGGTAGCAGTGGTGGTAGTGGTGGTGATAGTAGTGGTAGTAGTGGGAGTAGTGGTGGTAGTGGTGGTGATAGTAGTGGTAGTAGTGGTGGTAGTGGTGGTAGTGGTGGTGGTAGTGGTGGTGATAGTAGTGGTAGTAGTGGTAGTGGTGGTGGTAGTGGTGGTGAAAGTTGTGGTAGTAGTGGTAGTAGTGGTAGTAGTGATGGTAGTGGTGGTGGTAGTGGTGGTGTAGTGGTGGTGATAGTAGTGGTAGTAGTGGTAGTAGTGGTGGTAGTGGTGGTAGCAGTGGTGGTAGTGGTGGTGGTAGTGGTGGTGATAGTAGTGGTAGTAGTGGTGGTAGTGGTGTGGTAGTGGTGGTAGCAGTGGTGGTAGTGGTGGTGGT